GGCCGCCGTTCGTTTAAATATCGTCTTAATCTGGCGAGCCGGGGCCCTAAACCCGTGGCCTCTTAATTCCGACCGCGTAAACTTCCAGTCCAAACCTGACAAATCGTCCAACCGCGGATTATCCGTCGACGAAAAACTAATTAAGCCACGGAATACCACGAAACGAGGCTCGTGCTCGTCGAGTTATTCGCGCCGGTGTCCCGCGAGCGCAACTTTCTTCGTTTCGCGTTGCTTCGCCCGTGAAATCGCGATCGGCGGTGTGCTATGTATAGAATCCTTCAGAAGTATCGTCAAACTATGTGCAACGCGCGATATTGACGATGAAAAAATTGCTACAGCGCGTTTGACAAATAATAATAAAAATGAGATACATATATTTCATGTTGTATGGATCATTCTTCTCAAAGAAACGAAAGCAAGAGAGGATACAGATTTTAAAGTTGAAAGAAATTGAACCGCGGTAAAGATACTTTGTGAAATTGATACCGTCTGGCTTCTAAGAAACAATTTTATCGTCTCATGATGTTCTACTATGATTGCAACAATCTCGTAAATAGACAGATAGAGAGATACAGTGGTTTAAAGATAATTCATTTCTCTATATTTGTATTAAATATCTTTCGCTTCATGTTCTTCACGATCCTCCATACTCTGACAACTCTGCTTAGTACAATTATGGTATTTTTCATGCCGCTCATATTTACGCTTCCCTTTGCCACTGTAAATAAGTTCACTGATTTCCCAACTTCTATTCCAAATCCATGCCGTTTCACACATCTTAATTTGTACATCTAATATTCCTGCATATTACTCGCGCTTAGTCTAAATTCCAGGCAACACCGTTCCAACGATCGTAAATGATAACGTTATTTCGAATAATATATTTTTGTGGGATGGTGCGTTTATGCGAACCCGAAGACGGAGTTCTTTTGTAGATCCAGAGTAGCTGGAGTACACCGATGGAAATCTCTCTTGTCGTAATTTTACATTTCTATCTTTTTATGAATAAAGCAACGTTATAATCAAAGTAACGAAATATCAGAATATCTGGATACTTTCGAGGGTTAGTGTATCGATTTCTCGAGTCTTTAGACTAACAGGAAAAAGCGAAATCGCTTCGTTTCTATCCGCCTATCTAAATAGTTGCACGACTCCATAAATTCACCTGCTTAATTCCGACTCGCGCTGCCACCCTTCCATTCCCGAACCTCGCAAGGGGTTGTTCGAGCCGCGGGATTCTGAGTATCAGAAACACACGACCCTGGAGACAGGTAGCGAAGGAAAATGCAAAGGACGAAGAAGGGTGTCGGAGTACGATTGTATGGGCAACTTCTTCGTGGCTGGATTAACGCTCTTAGTCCGGATCTCTATGTTTAGGGATGAGTTTACTGGAAATATGGCTGGCGAGAGGGTGGTTACGAACGATCGGATTAGTTTTTGGCAGACTTTTGTTTCGATTAATCCTCTTACGGTCGAATGTTTATATTTCTATTGAGATATGAGAGACTAGGTTGGCCGCGTAGTAGTGACACACGTGAATATGTGAATATGAGTATGTGGAAGTATGTGTGTGCGCGGCGTCTCGAAAAACAGATGAATGTAACTGTTCCGTTGGCAGTGTGATATACAAGATGGTGAAACGAAGAAAATGCTGAGACGCGTGCAAATGTATATCGACGAAGATCCTGGAAATCGTTTATTAAATAAATCTTAAACTATTTTATTATGAATTCTACGTATAATCTTAGTGTTCCTTTACTTTTATTTTGGCAATTAAGATCCACAATTCTCAACAATTTCAATGTTATTCATTGAATTTTAATAGGCAAAAGATATCTGTCGTTTCGTAGGAAGTTGCTTAAAAATGAAACGAAGCAATCGTTAGGAAAGAATAATTTTATTTTTATATTTCCAACCGACTTGAAATATTTTTTATTCCTACGTCTTTCGGTGTCTGTTCTCACCATTCTGCCGCTATCCTGTCAAAAGAATGCTTTCTATCGATAAATAGCCGAGAACCGATTTATCCTTTTTCTCTATCTTGTCAAAAATAAATCCTCTTTACTCGCTAATTGTCCAATTTGCTTACTCGAACAAAGGCTTCTAACGACATTCTTTAAACTCTGTATTTTGTCCAAATAATAAGATAACAAGATTTCGAGGAGCACAGGGAAATTCCGCATTTATCAAAGGTTCTGCTGCATATTGCAAAAAGGGGAGAAAAGAAAAAACGGAGAAGAAAGGAAATTTGATTCACCCTCCTCCACGACATTAATAGGAGTGTCACGTACAGACCCTATCTATAATCTGGTCGCGCTAATTTCAGAGAATATCGAGAACGACGGATTTTTTAAGAGTTTACCAATGACCACGATGCCTCCATCCCGAAACTTCCACTTTTCCAACTAAAATTCATTTCACCTTTATCTTTCTACCATTGCGACAGACATGCGTCACAGAAGAAGAAGTGGCCGGTCATATATGACCAACGTGGCAGTCAAAGTGTTAACATGAACTATTTTAACACTTTAACCTCCTTGGTGCCGGCTCTGTTTCGGCTGAGACTCTCCAATACCATTCTTTTCGTTCATCGCGAATGGTAAGTTTTTCAAATTGGTATAAAACTGTGGGAACTTACGAAGCAAGGCAACTGACGCAACTGAGCAAGGTACCTTAGTACTTGTTAGAATTTAATCTTGGAATTAGGATTAGTAATCTGTGGAAGACACAATGTTTGTGTTGAAATAATACAATGTGATATTTATTAAACAATTATTTCAAGAGTTATAAATGTGCGTTCTGGAATGTAGACAGTTGGCTAGTTATTCACAGACTGACTGGCTTAGTGACCCATGGCCCTTGAAAAGGTTTAGAGCCCCACTCTCTATGCAGTAATGAGTGTGACCTGTGTGGGTGTCTGTGTGGCGTCACATGTGGCACAGAACCTTCTAGTAGCTTCTCGACGTGCCCATCTAGAATGTTCCATCCATATCCTCACGTTTCTTCCGGCATTTTTTGAAAAAGCATGCACGTGTTAACTGCCGTGGTGCATCTCACGAACGCACGCTAGTGGGGTTGGCGCTGGGCAACGAACGGAAGAATCCGTACGATCAAACACCTTATCTGCATGCGATTGATATCGTTGTATTCCAACAGTACTAAATAACAAATTACTGCTCAAATAATGAGAAAGATTGTTGGCGAGAAAAAGCTGATTAATAGGTTATCGGTCGGTAAAGTGTTAATTGTTGACTCGAGTTAACTCGAGTTTTCATGGCCAAACGTTGCCGACCGGCCACTGTTGGGGATCATACAGTGCAATTGTTGGTCGGCATACCTCGAGCTGTGTCTCTCGCTTATAAGACCCGTCAAATTGCGTCCTTTGTTGTAAACAAAATTTCCACGTACCAATGAAGAATCTTTCAATGAATTATACGCAGATGTTTTATCTGATTGTCCGAGTGATTGTGAATCAAATTGTGGTGACTTGGAAAATGATACTGTATGAGAAGATAGTGAATCTGATATTAGGTCACCAAAATATCAAAAGAGGAACATAATAGAATTAGATAGTGATTGGAAGAAGAGTGGATATGACACCAAACTTATAGAATTATTTAAAATCCGACTAGAGCGTGCGGAGTATGCTCTTCAAAAGGAAAACACAGCGAAATATTTGCAAAAGCTGTTGTGTACCATTATACGTAGATTATACTGTTTATCATACGCAAAAGAAATATTAAAAGTTGAATAATAGATAAAATTTATTAAAGTTTATTTATATTGTTTTACTTCCACATCCAATTACGAAATAATAGCCGATGACGTGAGATAAATTCTCAATAAAATTGTCGGTTAACAATGTGTTAATTATTTCGTCCCTTGAGAACCTCAAAATATATCATTCGATAAAAATAAAAAACATGTAACTAAGTGTACAATTTAAAGATTCAAGAATTTATATTTAAAATATAACATACTATAATACGTAATATGTGCAATATATGTATTGTAAACTGGTGTTTATAAATAGCAGCGAGTATTAGTATGAGTATCGTATTGTGATTCAAAGCGTGAAAGTTTGAATATCCCTTTGCGAGCGACTAAACGCTCCATGTAATGGAGGTAATTCCATTTACGTCCGACAGTTAAGCGCAAGAAAATGATGGAAGATAAAGAAAACTCGACGATACAACCGATTCGTTCTATCCGTTGTGCGGCGTTTTAAATCTTCGCGGGCTCGCGTTCGCGAAATTTACGAGTCCTTAAGCGAACCGTGAGAGTGTAATTCAAGTTCGGGATCGCCTGCATGCCGCTGGCAATGAGAAAGAAGATCCAAAGAGGCTTCTCTAGTATCGAACTGCTCGTAAAAGAGCTTTCACGCGATCAGACTTTCGCAATGAAAGTTCGCCACGTTCAATCGATCCACCGTTGAATCATTGCCCATCGCCTTTAAGGTTCGTAAATGCACCTTTAGGATAACGCCGTTCGACCTCGTATAATAAAAATCGATTAGGCGAAAATTTTTACAGAATTGTACAAGCTATAATATCTTAAATCCTTGGTATTGTTTTAAAAATACGTAGAGAGTCATTTCTAAAAGTCGAATTATTTAGAAAATAATTATTAATTATTTAATAATTTTTAATTTGATGTTTAATTTGCGTAAAATAATCATAGATTCCTATAATTTCGATATACCTGCTACGTATAATTATTTCTAAATGTAAACTCCTAGAAAACAATGAGAATATTTCTATCAAAGAAAATTTCCTCTTCCTTCATACGATTCATTAAACCAAAAAGGTAAAATCGTACACGTAATATTAATATTCTAAATTTGCAAACTCTGGAAAAACAACATTTTATGTATAACCTGATACTATCGTACAACTTTCATATTGAAATTCTTCAAGGCTGTATATTGAAGAAAAAGGCCAAGTATGTTAAGCATTTGCTTTATAAGAGGAGTAGTTCCAAACCAGCGAATGAATGAAAAGAAATTATCAATAATTTTACATAGTAGAATACAATGTTAGTTCTTATGGGTTCTATCGATGAAAGAAGAAGACGCGAAAAAATATTTCCTTATTAATTACTCATCGAAGGGAAAACTTCTTCTCTTTCGAAGAATTAAAGGAACGTATCAAAGAATCGGCAAATCTACGAACATCCACGAGAGCAAGAAAATGATAAGAGAAACGAGGAAAATGCGAAAGAAGATGCACGACAGAGCCAGCAAACTATCGCGAGTCGAAGCAGTTATGATTTTTCTCTCGTTTCTTTCTCGCTTCTTTCTCACTTCTTTCCGCCTTCCTTTCTGACATTTCCATTCTGTTTCTCTCTTTTTCTTTGATACAGTTGCGAATCTCGCACGAATCGGTGCAACAGCCACCCTTAAGATTTTCCTGTGACGCGATTGTGGCATTAAGAAGGCTAGCGACGAAACTTTCATGGCGACTGATGTCGACTTGTGGATGTTGGTTCGTAGCTGTCAAGGGTAGCTTGCCTTTCCGGGACGTTTCAAAGGCCGATTTGTGGGTGCATCTTTAATTGGCAATTGGGAGAAGCCTGGGGGTCGGGCTAGAAGCCACGTCGATGGCTCGCCTTCTAACGAGCACCGATAAGATTTCTCCTTCTTTTCATTCTTCCTCTCTTTCTCCTCTGACGTTAAATACGTTGCTTATTAAATCGCGGTACGCTTTCGCGGCGGATCAATTAGGGGAATCACATGCAACGTCGACCACGAGAATCGCGACGATGAATAAAAGGGAAGAGAACTAGACGACGTACCGCGCAAGTGGTTAAATAAATTGAAAATGTAGTCGGATGATTGACTGAGGCAAAGCGGAAATTCGTTATCGGAGAACCTTTTAATTACACGACGTAGATGTATAGTAGGGGCATATGCGGCTAATATACATGTTGAGAATTTTGGATCTTAATTGCCGAAATAATGGTATAGGAACACTAAGTTTACACTTGGAATTTATATTAAAATAGTTATATATTTATTTGATAAACGATTTCAAAGATATTCATCGATACACATTTGCACGCGTCTCAGCTTCTTCCATACCAGACTGTTAACTGAACAGTTTACATTCTTATATTCATATTCATATAAGACTTACTCACTTATATTTGTCGGGTTAACATTAAGATTTAAGGCGCGTAACGATTCTTCGTTTGAGTTAGCCATCGTTTTACGAGACAGAGATTATATTTGCGCGACTATACAAGATTTTACAAAATATTATGAATATTGAGTTTAATGAATAAGATTAACAGACGATAAGTTTAACTAATAATTAGATTAAAGAATAATAAGTTTAACGAACAATAAGAGGAACGAATAATATGTCTTACGAATAATAAATTTAACGAATAATGAGATTAACGATTGATAGGTTTTACGAATAATGAATTTAATTAACGCTATTAACAATATTCCGGGGTTCAAACGAATCCACGGTCAACGGGATAACTCTTTACTATGCGTAGAATAATTTTTAATACAAAAATACGATTGCTGAGACACTCGGTAAATTGCTCGATGTATCACTTTCCAAGGCGATCACACGAATGAATATCTGATGAAAATCTTTTTCGCTATACGACTGCATTTGTTTGTTATATGCTCGCTGGAGATATCGAGAAGGTTCCAATCGTTGTTGCTAGGCAATTTCTGTCAAAAGTTTGTTGTATACTCTTTGGAAACATCGAGAAAGATCCAAACGCCGTTACTAGGCAGTTTCTGTCTGGAGATTGATTCCTAATACAACGTGTGTCCCATTATATCGACATCTCTAAAGTACAATTCTATGTGATTTCTAGGGAGAACGATACAACCGATCCACACCTTCGTCAGGCAAAACGTTTATCCCGTGACCGTGGCTACGTTCGGCGACCAGTTGCCACCTCGAATCCACTTTCGCTTTCACAAATGTCGAACAATTACAAATGACAATTGCTTAATTACAGTTATGATAAAATCTAGGCTAAGGCATTAGAAGGCTTCCTCAAAATTGCAAAGGGAAGGCTCCAGTTTTCCTTTCGTCTCCGACATATTCATATACATGTATCACTACTATACAGCTAATCTAGTCTAGCACATAAAATTATGCATATCTCAATAATACATAGGAACGTTAAAAAGTTAGATTGCCTCTAGTATTTACTTCTTTCTATTTCTTTTTGCTTCTGTTTAGATTGCTTTTAATATTTATGGCTTGCTTGCGAGTAACAAATACGAATTTACTATTTTATTATTCTTGACTTTAGGAGATTTATCACAGCATTGGCGGCGTTATTCCACAAATTTATTCATTATTCTATTTTAATTATTCACTCATCCATTTGTTGTCTATTCGTTCATTCGTTGTTCAACATCAATTCGTCGTTCGTTTACCAGTTCGTTCGTTATTCCATTTCCATTTCTTATTCGCTTATTCGTTCGTAACTTCAATTTCTATCTGCTGTCCTTAAATAACAAGTAATTAGTATAACGTAAGCAACAAATATATCGAACGAATGAACCGAGCTTATTCCAACGAATTTCGTTCGGTATTGATTTTTCTATTTTATTATTCTTGACTTCAGGAAATTTAGCATCGGGCGCGTTATTCCACAAATTTATTCATTATTCAATTTTAATTATTCCCTTGTCCATTTGTTATTTATTCGTTCATTCGTTATTCAATATCAATTCCTCGTTCATTCACCAGTTCCTTCGTTATTCCATTTCCATTTCTTATTCGTTTATCCGTTCGTAACTTCGGTTTCTTTCTATAGTCCTCAAACAACAAGTAATTACCATATTCGTTATTCGAGATGTTATACGACGAATTATTGTCTATCGAAGAGTTAGTTATCATTTTGTCTATCGAAGAGTTAGTTATCATTTTGTCTATCGAAGAGTTAGTTATCATTTTGTCAACCGAAGAATTTTATATCCGTCAGTCTGTCAGTCAATTGTCAATATCGATATCGAGTAAGAGGACGTGGCAAGGGGGTGCAACAGAAGATAATTCATAAGAGGTTCCTGAAGCACTCCTGTCATACGCGTAGGATGGTCATCGTGGAGTTTTAGTCGGTAAGAGTCCGACACTACTCTGCTGTTACCGATTATTAGCAGCAGCGGAGTGTCCATGAGGATTTCTTCACGTGCAAAAAAAAAGTCGCGCATCGCGCGATTGTCATCACGAAATTAAAACATTTTCGAATCTAAAAAATTTATCAATCATAGTAAAGTACAATTGACGTTGATATAAAAGTACACAGCAGGATGGAATGTATTCAAGCTCTTTTCTCACGTAACAAACCATTTTCCAAACTTTCCAACGATAATGTATACGTCGGATGTTCGGGCACTCTCATTTCTTTTTTTCCTTTTGATAGCAAAATTTACAATACGAATATTTCACCATCACACCAACGCAATTGTTTTCACGTTTTTATGAGCGAGCTAGCACGCCGATTCTGGCAGGTTCGAGTTTAATGA